CCTATTTGAGCTATCCTCTTCGTTTAGTTACTTATTTCCTAAAAATTGGAAGTATACTTCGTTATTAATTAATTAACTATTTACCACCCAATCATACAATTATCTAATCACCATACTAATTACCAACTCAATCATAATCATAGTTATCAACTTTATTAATATCCCTAATAAATTTCCAATATATTAATATTCCTGATTATTCTGGAATCATCGTAACTCACAGAATCATCGTAACTCTCAACTCCTAGAACTAAGCGGATTGGTATTTTTTAATACCTAAATTCCTAAATTCTGAATCTCTGAATCTACAATTTGTATCACTTTCCATGTTTTATCTTTGCTGCATTTGCTTCCATGAGCTGATTTTTATCCAATTCCATTGCAGAAACCTGCATTCCATGAGTTGACTCTTATCCAATTCCGTTGCAGAAACCTCGTCTTCGAAAATGACTCGAAATTTCTCCAACCTATTTTTCTTTGGTTCGAAATGCCATTTGGGTTCCTGGTATCTATATTCTCCTCTCTTAGTATCGACGTTTATTTCTGATGGATGGAAGGTGGGGTGAACAGGGGAGAGCTTCACTCTGCAGGGGCGACACTAGGTGGGAGGTGACGCCCTGGAGGGGGTGCGAGCAGAGTTAGTGGGTTGCCTTACTCTGCGGTTGGGGTGGGGGTACTCACACTAGCAGGGGCAGATTAGGGTAAAAGGCGGGCAGAGGCATACTTTGGGAGGGAACTGTATGCCTTTTGGGATAAAGGGGGGGAAGGTGGGACTGTCCCAAGTTGGGGCTATGATGGGTTGCCTGCAATCTGGGTAATCCGTTTCGGCGGAGGCAGCGTTGGGACAGGGTGGAAAGGAGGGGGGGCAGAGACTAATCTTAGGTGTAAACACTAATTATGCTATATCAAGCTTACCTGTTTTTTGTAATCCTAGGCGATATCTGGTTTTCCCTTTATATAAAATACATGATTTTAGAGATGGTAGAATCCTGAATGATGTCTGCAAAGCTAATATGTTTCG